GCTGTGACCACCCCCAGCCTGATGCAGCCAGGGACTGCTCAGCTGCTCAGCTGCAGCCTTGAGGAGAGTTATTTTCGGTTTCATTTACATTATTTTCGGTTTCATCTACGTTCCTGTAAATCAGAAGCAAACCCCTGGAGATCACTGCCGTGTTCGTTGTTTGAGCACGGGATGAGGATCATTAAATATAATGCACGTGTGCAGCAGACATCTCTAACAATAGGGCACCGCTTCCTTCCAGCTGCCTGCTTCATCTTGATCAGACCCCGTGCACGACGTGTTTATTTAGAGATTACGTTAATTCTGGAACACCTTGCAGATAGGTGGATTCCTTCTTAATACTGTGTTAGAGGTAGGTCAGACCCCACCTGGGTTTTTCCCTTGATGGGCGCTTCAGCAGCCGAAATTAAAACCACCACCAAGATATTTCCAAATCAGAAAGCATTTGCCAGTCCTTATCAAATGACTTGAAACTCCTCTGGACGTTACCCAGCAGCACTGATTCATCCACGATGTGCCGTGATATTCCTGCCCCAGAGGTGCTCCAAACGGCTTATAAAAATAAAGTACTTTATGCTTGGACTCAATAATTATAGCAAAATATTGTATAGCACTACTTTATATCATAGGCATGGGGGGATATTATAAAACCCTGCTTCCTGGGTTGCATACAGGGGACTCATCTTTCCAGAGCTTATATAGGATCAATTTTCTGCTTACAGAAAATGTATAGCACCAAGCACATAACCATTGCAGCTGCAGTAAAAATCCTCCGGAGCTGTATCTCCCTGCAGTTCGGCCTTGTATGCAAATGCCCATGGATTTCTCTGTTCCAGGATGGATGACACTGTCACATACTCGAGTTCAAAATACTCACAAAGTACTAATAATTGCCAAATGTGATTGATAGCCTGCTTGTAATGTGTCTGTTTAAGCAATAAGTTTCACATTTACAACGCAGGTGCTTAGAATTCCTGTCTCCTGTGGCTGTAATTAGGAACCAAAGAGCAATGTGAAGATTTTTTTTCCTTTCTACCTCAATACACACAAGCCTGAAAAATAGATAGGTGCGCTTCACAAAGCTGTGCTGGCAGCAGATTCTGATCCGTGCAGTCACACAGGTGGGCAAGCATTAAATACCCGCTGATCCTAAACAGGAAAAGTTTTCAGGGAGAATCAAGGATGGTGAAGAATAGATCATACTGAGCCTGGCAGAGCTACACGGCATGGCTGGAAGATGAAGAGGTGCTGCAAGTGAGGAGCAAGGAGCCCTGGTGATGAGGGAAGCTGGGCGAGGGCTTTAGATGATGCTACAGGGTGTGAAGGGTGTCGCAGATAAGGGCTGCGGCGCGTCTGCGGGGTTGTGGAGGAGCAGAGGTGCACTGGGTGTGGTTACTGGGAAAAGGGAAGGGCTGCACCATGGGGATAAACCAGCCAGGCGGTGGGTGAGCTGGTGGAAGAATCTAGAAGTGCGCTATATTTATTTTCTTCTTAATATTATATTTTATTTCTTATTTTTGAGCAGGGATTCATGTGCTGATCTGGACGGATATCTTGCATCAGGGTACATGGAAGGCTCCGTGAGGCACAGTAGATGCCTGAGGTATCTCGTCTCAGCAATACCAAAGCTTTGCGGGGCCTCAGCCACCCTTTTCTCATACCTCTGCCTCACTTGTCCAAGCCACAGCTGTATGCCGTGGTGGTCCAGCACCCTGGAAGCAGTTAGCAGAGCCGAGGTACCATTTGCAACATGAGTCCCGGGTCTGACAAACAGCTGAGCCCACCAGACCCCGCTGCACAAATTCCTGCAACTATTTTGTGTGAGAGTGGCTGCAGAGGTGCTCGATGCTTTTGGAGCCTGGAAGGTGAACCTCACCGTCCAGTTCTCCTTATGGACCCTGTTTGCTATTTACAGGGATGCAGACCTCATAGTCCTCACTGCCTGTAAAAATATTTGGTATGATATTTGACATGATTTCTACCATAACAATCCACAGCATTTAACACAGTCCTTTATGCTTTTTTTTTCAGCTGGATCCCTTATTTCCCATGCTCACACACCAAAACCACCTTCTCTGCATGGTCACCAGATCAGTATGCAAAGCAGCGAGCCCTCTGACATGGGATCAGCCTCTGTCTGAGCCATCTGCACACCGGGGTAACTAGCCAAATATTTGCCTTCTCCCTGTTTCTTTTCTTGCAGCAAAGCTGGAAGGCTGTTGAATTAATTTCTCCATGGCTGCTCCATCTCACATATTTTTGATTCAACGTCCTACACTAATGTATATAAAACCTGGTGCTTGAGGCTCTGTTAAATTACCAGGGTTAGCCTCGTGCTCCAAGGAGTAGCCTGGCCACTCAGCAAACTGCCTGTCCAGGCTATGCTGGGATTGCTGCGGCACTCTGAATTCACAGCCCACTTCATTTCAGATTAATTTCCCCAAGCAGACAAACCCAAAGTGACAAGAATTAGGAAGAAATTCTTCTGCAGGCAGAGGATAATAGGTGAAATTTCATTTCATTTTCCTCTGCAGCAGCTGCTGCTGGTCCCTGCCAGGGACCTATTAGCAGAGAAGAGATGGGATCTGTTGAGGCCATCTCACTCTTACTGGCTGACCTTGCTCTCCAACACCTGGGATTTGGCTGCTGCAGGGGACATGTTCCCAGTCCCTGCTGGTGGTGGGAGATGCTTTGGGAGCTCCGCTAACCTCCCTGTGCCCCCCTGCCTGCCTTCTCCAGGGAAGTCATGGAATCATGAATGGTTTGTGATGGAAGGGATCTCTGAAAACCATCTAGTCCAATCCCCAGTCACCACCAGATCAGGTTGGTCCAAGCCCCATCCAACCTGAGCTTGAACACTTCCAATGATGGGGCATCCACAGCTTCTCTGGGCAACCTGCTCCATCTCTCACCACCCTCACTGTAAAATATTTCTTCCTTACGTCTAATCTAAATTTACCCTCTTTCAGTTTAAACCCCTGCCCCTTGCCCTGTCACTACAGACCAACATAAGAAGTCTCTCTCCATCCCTGCCTTTGCAAAATCCAGCCAAGAAGCTGCCAGCACTGAGTCCTCTGGGTCGTGTGCTCGTCTCTCCCGTGTTGGCCACCCTCACCTCACCATTAGTGCTAATTACAGACACCACTCTCCCTGCTCTGCCCATTGCTTTGACCCCGGAGCGGGCAGGTCCCCGGGGCTGGGACCAGTGGAGCTTTGCTCTCTGCCAAAACCCAAGCCCTCTCCCAGCTGCCTCAAGCGTTTCTTCCTGAAAATGGATGCCACCTAGTGCACACAGCCGTGCGGCAGCCGTGGATGCGATCCATCCCCCCGGAGGTTTTCTGGACCAGCCTGGACTAGATGGACCTTTGAAGGTCCCTTCCAACCTAAACTATTCTATGATTCTAAGTGTCAGGCTCGGTCACGGCATCTCTATCCCACACAGGTTCCTGCACCAGCAGGCAGTGATGTCCACCCCATCTGCCTTGTCAGTCTGTCTGTCCCCGGACAGGTCACCAGATCTTAATCACACGCTTGGCATGGTTGGAGCTCTCTTGTCTTTCTTTAAAAGCACTTAAGCTGTGGCTGCAGCAGTCCCGCCTCATACCAGCGATGCTTCAGGAGGAGCGGCTGCCCATATTCCCCAGTGCTGGCAGACAAGTGCTGGTCCCAGCAGACATGTATATAAGCGGCTTTTATCCCATAGGATACCAGCACGGGGTGAGGTTACACCCCGGAGAGGTGATGGCATGAGAGGGGACACTGAAAAGGGAGGGAGTTACAGATGTACCCCAAAGAAAATCGTCCCCATTACAGCCCTTGCTGTGACCAACGGAGGGGACCCAGCTCCCCATTTCCCATCTGTGGGAATACAAAGGAATCAGCAAGGAGGATTGTAAGCACGCTCCAGTGACTTGTAGCTAGGGTGCTGAAAAACAATATATCACACTAATTGTTGTTTAGCTTTGTGTGCCTGACAGGTAGAATGTCTGTGTTCAGATAACACAGGCCTGTGAGAGACTCAGAGGCATCTTATCGAACATCCTTGAGATTCCTGCCCAGCTGTGGGAAAGATCAAAGCACAGTGGAAAAGTATGCCTGTGAAAGAAAACCCTGATACATACAGGCAAAAGCAGCAGGTCTGTGATCTTTTCTTTCTTCTCCTTTTTTTTTGGCTAGCAAGGACCGAGCTCTGCAGGGCCGGCATCCCCGCCTGTGTGCCTCTGCCTGAGTGCTGCTGTGGAGATCCCCCGGGTTGCAAGGTAATGAGAATAAATTTACTCTTTGCATTTCGTCCATGGTTTTGTGGTTTTTCCTGTGTCCTGCCTGTGCTGGCTCACATACCTTCCCATCTTCCACCTAAGGACCACGGCTGCTCCGCAGCACCTCTGGATGCCAGCCGGAGCCCGTGGCAGGATCAGCTGGCCCTCCAGAGAGCTGCCTGTCAGCACTGTGTCCTTGGGCTGCTCTTTCTCACCTGGCTGGGATGGTTTCTGCAGCACGTTGGTCAGGAAGCAGATTACCGGGAGGAACAAAGGTGATTTTGTCTGGGGAGGGGATGGGTACCTCCCCTCGAGCTCCAGCTTGCTGCAGCTGAGGGCAATTCTGAGCATCTCTGGGAGCTGCAGCTGCCCTTTCCTCAGCCCTGCCCTTCCTTCAGCACTTCCCAACTGCCAGAAAATACGTTAAAATTAGTACTTAGGTTAACAAGTAGCACAGACGTGTGCTAGGACCACAGCTCCAGCTGCACCGACGGAGCTCAACGCCAAGACAGGGGGACAGAAATGCTCTTGAACTGCACTTGGGGCTTTCCCTTCTCCTAGGGCTGCTGGACACTGCTGGTTGGTTTGTGGGTGTGAGAGCTTCTCTCCTCAGACCCCATGTCACAGGGTCCCACCTACTGCTCATGGCCTGGAGAGCAGCAGGAGGA